ACCTAACAACAGCAAAATATATGTAGAGAACACAAGAGCAAATTACCCACCTGTCAAATGGCTGGTTTCTTTTATGTTAAATAGAACTTAACGTGTTTATGATTATTATACCAATAGTTTTCTTCCTTCCACTTGTAGAACAAGTACAGTATTTCACATTGTTGTTATATGCCATTGAATCTCATGCAGTTCATAGCAACCCTGTACACAGTAACCTCTGAACTCTGTCCTGTCCTTAGCCAATCTCACTGTATCTGACACACCTGCCCCTATTACCCAAGTAATCTCATCCAGAGTCATCTTCTCCTGCGTTGCCCTTCTCCAAGGACTGGTCCCTCCTGGCAACAGTCCCAAAGTGTTGAGATGGACCTTCAAAATCCCAGCCTTCAAGACAAAACTTGGTTTCACCCTATCCAGTACAGACTTGCTTGTTTTCTTGCAAGTTCATGATGTATATGTTCAGTAGTATTCTCCAGCACCACACTTCAAAGGCATCAATAATTCTTCTGTCCTTAATCATTGTTTATCTCTCTGATGCATAGCTCATAATTGTGACAACCTTGGCCTGGATCGGGTACATCTTAGTCTCTAGACTGACATCTTTGTTCTTCATCCCTCTGGAGAGGTTGCTGGTAGCAGATTTTCCTAATGCATTTTCATCTTTTGATTTCCTTGCTAGTTCCAAGACTGTTGATTTTAGACCCAACAAACTGAAATTGTTCACAATCTCAATCTCTTCTCCATCTCTCATGGTGCTGCCAATTGGCCCAGTGATGAGAATCTTTGTTTTCTTGATTCTGAGCTTCATTCTAATTTGAAGACTGCAGTCCTTGACAGATACTTCAGGCCCTCCTCAGTCTCAGCAAGCAAGGTTTTGTTATCTGCGTAACACAAGTTTTTTATGAGTCTTCCTCCAATTCTGAGGCTACATTCCTCCTCATAAAGCCAAGCCTTCTGAATTATTTGTTCCACATATAGATTGTAAAGGTATGGAAAAGGATGTATCCCTGGTGCACTCCTTTTCTGATTTTGTACCATGTAGTCTTTCCTTGTTCTCTTCTGATGACTGCCTACTGGTCCAGGTATAGGTTTCACATGAGTGATATCAGGTGTTCTGGGATTCCCATTCTTCTCAAGGTTAGCCACAATTTGTTGTGATCCACACAGTCAAGTGCCTTTGCATAGACATTGAAACACAGATAGAGATTTCTCTGGTACTCTCTGTTTTCAGTCAAGATGCATCTGGCATTGACAGTGACATCCCTAGTGTCACAGCCTCTTCTAAATCCAGCTTGTACTTCTGGTAGTTCTCCATTGATGGTACTGTTCCGGTTGATATTGAATAATCATCAGCAAGATTTTGCTTGCTTGTGATATTAGTGATATTGTTCAACAATTTCCACACTCTCATCGGATCATCGTTTTTTAGAATAGGAATATATATAGATCACTTTAGTCAGCTAGCTAGGTAACTGTCCTTCAGATTGCTTGGCACACCTTGGTGATCATGTCCAGAGCAGTGTCTGTTTGCTGAAATAATAGGTCAGATGGTATTCAATTCAATATCAATTCCTGGGGCCTTGTTTTTTGCCAATTCCTCCAGAGCAGCTTAAACTTCCTTCTTCTTCACTGCTGCTTCTTGGTCATATGCTGTTTCATTAAATTCTTCTGTGTCAGCCAATTATTTTTGGTACAGTAATTCTGTATACTCCTTCCATCTTCTTTTGATGCATCCTGGATCATTCAATATTCTGCCTGTGGCATCTTTTAAGTATTAAAACTCAAGGCTTGAATTTGTTCTGCAGTTCCTTTAGCTTAAGAAATGCCAAGAGAGTTTGTCCCTTTTTATTCTGATCCCAGGTCTTTGCACATTTTGTTATAATACTTTGTCTTGCCAACCTGCCCTTTGAAATCTTCTGTTCAGCTCCTTAATGCCTTGATTTCTTCCCTTTGCTTTGGCTTCTTGGCACACTAGTGCAATATTCAGAGACTCCTCTGACATCCATCTTGGTTTTGTCTTCCTCCTCTGTCTTTGTAATGACGTTTTGCATGCACAATAGATGATATTCTTTATATCCCCCCATGGCTCATCTGGTCTTTGTTTATTAGTGTCCAAGGCCTCAAACCTGTTCTTGAGACAGTATTTAAATTCAGGTGGGATAGACTCACTGTCAAATTTTGGTTTTTGTGGATTTGATACAATTTTCTTTAGCTTAAATTTGAGATTGATGGTCTATTTGCAGTCATCACGTGGCCTAATTTTCACAACTGATAGTGAGCTTCTCCAATAATTCTTTCCACAGATGTAATAATCAGTCTGATTTCTGTGTAGACCATCAGGTGAAGGCCATGCAAATAGCTGTCGTTTTTATATAGAATTTGTAACTGCATCACATTTAAGTGAATACTCATTGCTTTACCTAATGCTGAAATCTGTAGATAATCACTCTTATAGTTTAGTGCTTCATTTTGAGACATTGCTATCAGTATTTACATATATTTCCTTATACCACTTATTCTTAATTTTTTTTATAGCTTCTGTATACCTAGACCTTAATATCTGGAGAAAGGTCAGTTTGTTCTGTTGAAGAATAGTGGTGATGTAACAAGACATTTTTAATTTTTTGTCCATTTAAACTGTCTTCGTCAATGTTTTCTTTGGACATTTAACTATTGTTTGGGCTATTTAGATAATTAAATTATAAACACTTTTTAACATCCATAACTGCTTGATGGAAAAGTATCCAATTTTATCATTTCAAAGAGATTACTAATCATGATTTTTAAATTATATATTAAGGTCATATTCAGTTATGTAGTTGTACATTTAGTACAATATTAATTTTATTCTGTTTCATTAATGTATTTTTAAAACTTGTTTTTTAAAAAAATGCATGGATTTGAGAAAAAGATATCAAAATTCTGTAAGGCTTCCTGTATTTCAGAAAATGCTTCAAGTTGTTCTTGCCTGGTTTCTTCTGTCCGTTATTTACATTAGAAATCAAAGGTCAAGTCTTGCTTCACTGGAGCCACAGTCTCACACCGAATGACTTTCAGAATGGACACCTGTCATCAGGAAGCAGCCTCGTGTGAATTTTTGTGTTTTATAGAAAGCCTGCTTATTGTCACTTTTTTAAAACACTAAAAAAATTCTCAGGAGCAACAGTGTCTCTCTGGAGACTAAGGTGCGCCTGATACAGGCCATGGTCTTTGCAATCGCTTGTTATGCATCAGAGAGTTGGACAATGACTAGGGAGGACAGAAGGAGAGTGGATGCTTTTGAGCTGTGGTGCTGGAGAAGGGTACTGAATGTACCATGGACTGCCAGGAAAACAAACATTCATCTTGGAGAGGATTAAACCAAGCTACTCCTTGGAGGCAAGGATTCTGGGGCTTCGTCTGACATACTTTGGACATGTTGCCAGGAGGGATGGGTCCTTGGAGAGGGACATCATGCTTGGGAGGGTGGAGGGACAGCGCAGGAGGGGAAGACCCTCTATGAAATGGATTGATTCAGTGACTGGGGTAATTGGGATGGGTGTGTCAGAGGCGGTGCGGTTGGTGCAGGATAGAGCAGGGTTTAGGGCTGTTGTGCATAGGGTCGCTATGAGTCGGAAACAACTCGACGGCACATAACAACAACAACAAAAAAAAATTCTTTTAATATCAGGAGTAAAAACCCATATGGTGCTAAAGAAAAGACATGTATTTTTTTAAAGTTAAGGAAAAACTGAACTAGTTTCGTAGACTTGCGCATGTTCTCAGGAGAGTCCAGTCCTTGGAAAAAGATGTTATGCTGGGAAGGTGGAGGGACAGTAATGAGAGGAAAACCCTCCCAAGAGGGATTGACGCAGTGACTGTAACAGTGGGCTCAACAGTGACAGGGCAGGTTTCAGGTCTGTTGTTCATAAGGTTCACAGCATTATTACTGATACATACTTAACATGGTTAAACCACAAAGAAAAAACAAGGACATAGCGAAATAATGTCAGATGGTAACATCCTTTGGTACGTAGCATGAGCTCCTCAGAAGTACCAGTGCTGTTGGCAGTGTTCTAAGTTGGGATCTGGCTCCATAGATGTTCATGTTACCATTGTGTTTTTTAGCTTGTATTTGCTATAAATACGTGTTTGTGTTATAACAGTGGATCTTTTTCCACTAACTGAGATTAGTTGATTTCCTTCTGCTGAAATAAGAAAGATAAGATGCAGGAGATTTGTTATCCCAACATAAAAATTGGTAGATTTCTTTTCATAAATATTTAGAATGCCCCTTCCTGAATGTATTTCAACTGCAGTATCTACAGTTTTATATGGATTTTTCATTTTAATGTCAGTTAATTCATGCAACTATAACAGCTTGTGGCATTTAGAGTCTAAATACTGCTTATTCTCATGTGTATGTATCATTGGAATCAGGTGTTATAATCGTCCATCGCAGCAATAGATGGATAGTCAGCCAGAATAAATAATAGTTCTGGAAAACGCAGAGGGAATAATTTCAAAATGGAGTTTATATGTAAGAATCCATTTTGTTTAGGTATGTAGTTATAATTTTTTTTTTACTCTTTAATAAGAATGGCATGTAAGCAGACAGAACTTCTAGTTTTGTTAAATGTGTTTGCTTGTATTAATGATGCAAAATCTTGATAGGTATTTGATCATATCTGTAAGAAACTGTCAAACTCCCACCTCTCTTTCTTAATATTGTTCGGCAAATACTTCACTTCTTTCCTGTGAATTTCTCAGTGTCCAGATTTCTCTGTGTGTGTGTGTGTGGTTGTTACTTCATTTGACCTGTTGCAGATAAAATTGCCTTTCTTATAATTTATAACTTATTTATTAATTACTCTATTGCAGTCATATCAATTTAGCTAAATAACTTGTTTTCTAAATGACCTGACTTTATGCTCCATGTTAGCTCTATCTACTGATACATTATTATAATTTTTTTTTACTTAAGAAAATGTCTAATTTTTTTTTTTTTTTACTCCATTCAGCTGCTGATAAAGATGACAGTTCGGAAGACATTTCAGTGCCAAGTAGTCCACATACTGAAGCTATACAGCATAGTTCTGTCAGCACTTCCAACGGGGTCAGTTCAACATCCAAGGCGGAAGCTGTTGCTACTTCAGTCCTAACCCAGATGGCGGACCAGAGTACAGAGCCTGGGCTCTCACAGATCGTTATGGCTCCTTCCTCCCAGTCACAGCCCTCAGGAAGTTGATTAGAAACCTGCAGTGCATCAGTTTTCGATACCCATTAATGACTTCAAAGGGAAATCAAGGAAAGACCCATTTCATTTATGTGAAATCTGTGGTTGTAAAAAATTTTTTTTTCTTACTTGAAATTAAATTTGGCTCTAAAGTTGGTGTAGCAGCATTTCATGGTCAGACTGAACAACATTTTCAGTCTCTGGAAGAAGACTGATTGATTTTGCTTTTTTTTTTATAAATATTGTTAGATTTATTAATTTTCTGTGCTCAATGTGTAAATTGTATTATATTAATTGTTGTTTATTTCACTTTTAATTTGGTGGTGTTTTAATAAATGGGGGTGTTACTGAATCTCTCTTCCCACTTCCATTTCTTTTGGCCACCTTCCTCAACTGTGATGCTAGTATTCTTCTATCATTTATACCAAAGTTCTGCATAGTCCCTGTTGACTTTGTAATGTTAACAAGGTCATAAAGCACTAGGCATGAGAAAGATAAAAATTTGCTTTTAATCTTTTTGCCTTTTATTTTGCACATTATGCAAAAAGAAGTACATTGGGGAACACTTTTTTTTTTAAGTGAATGAAAAAGTAAAAGACATACAGTGCGTTTATGCACATTCTTAGACTAGATCAAGGTCATTAATAGTAGTGTTTTATTTTTTATGAAATTTTAAGACTGAATTTTGGAATACTTCATTTCAAAAATAACTTTCAAGTCTTTAAATTTCAGTATTTACCCTATGTTTTGAGGTTAAAAAATAGGAAATTATGTAATATACAATACAGGGTTAAATTAATCTCTAATAATTTTTTAAGTTAGCCTCCTTTTATTTTCCCGATTACAAACTGCGAAGTTTGTGCAGAATCAAGTATGGTATGGTTGCCAGAAAAGCCTGAAATTACTATTTAGAAAATTGAAGACTATTTCCCCCCATTGTCTTGTACTTGTGAGCTAACTTGTCTTTACTCTTGTGAAAGCACTGTCATCTTTTAGTAGCAAATTTTGATAACATTTCTCGTGGGAAAAAAAATCAGTATCTATCTTTAGAACAATGTAACTATAATGTGAGAATGCGAGAGTATGTGAGAGGGACTGCAGTGTGTGAGTGTACCTGTGTGTGTGATGTGTGTATCTCTCAGTAGTTGATGCCAGCTATCTTTGCTTGAATGTGTAACGATGCCTTCAGTGTGATGCTGGCCAATAGATGATTGCAATTTAAAATGTCATTTCTGTGCAGGCTTGGATAACTAACATTCCATGATGTAGTTTGTTTCTGATGAGATGATTGTAGGTACACTTTTCTCATTATCCAGTCATCTGTGGGATACTGAGTTTTCTACTGTGCCATTATCAATTTTTATTCTGCTGTTATGTTCAAAATACAGTACAATATTTTAAAAATAGACTAAAATTGTTAAAAAATTAAAACGTAGTAGATGTGTGTATGAAAATGTTGTAAAATAGTTTTGAGTCCTACCCAGTAGCAACTTCGGGCATTCTAGCAGGATTCCACTATGTAAATATCTGTTGTGCATTTATGGTAAGTTGTGTAGTTTGTTCTGCATCCATACTACACTATTTGCTAAAGTCTCAGTGCCATCTCCTAATGAGACTGACATTTTAAACACCTATATGGAATATCCTTGATGATTCAAGGAAATATCTCACCTGCCTAAGTTCCAAACTGGGAAACATTCAAATTATACAAAAGACATTTCAAGACATTGAACTATGAAGATAACAGGAATTTTATTGCTTGACTTATTAAAGATGAGAGAATTTTTATTTGTTAATTCTACTTCTAAAATTTCTTATTTTTAACTGATTTTATAATTTTGATGTAACCAATTTCTAATCATGATTTTTGTCACAGTTATGCTAAGGAGTTGATCTCAAAGGCACAAAATACGAATTCTGGAGGAAAGCTATTTTTATTGTAGTTTTGATGGGTTAGGGAAAGCCTTGTAGGCTCACTCTCCTCAGTCTTTTAGTGCATATTTCTTTCATTGTATTATTTATGCAAGTTAAAGTTCTTTGATAACAGAGTTCTTGCAATTGTAAAATAAAACTACATAGATGTAAGAAGTCATGTAAACGGTTAATGAGCTTACCACGGTTAGCAAAACTTTCATTGTAAACCAATCTGTGCTCAGCAAATAAAAATCATTATTAGTTGTATAAACACAAGCTCCATTTTGACTTTCAGGATGTCACACTACTTCTGTACCTAGCATTTTGAGTCCTTATATTTGCAATGTTTCACAAACTGTACTATTTTCTTTTATGTGCAGTTTGCATGAGTAAACCATCAGAGAATAAATTCTATCTTTAAATTATGTTCATAATTTGCTTGTTCTTGTATTTTATCAAGTTATGTCACCTGATAATAATAGTGGTCTCTCCTCTCTTCTTACATGAGAATAACCTGAGATCTGTTTTATTTTTGTGACAAAACATATTGTGGGGTGCCTAGACACTGGTCCACGCTAGTCCATTTCTCTGCTCTTTAAGTCTCATCCATACTTTGCGAACCTGATTTACTACATTTCCTAAATTTCAGCCTACATCCACTGATTTTTTTTATGTCTCTTCTAAGCTACCTAACAAAACATTTTAAGCTGCTGCTGCTTGTTGTTGATTGCCTTCAAGTTGAGCACGACTCATAGCGACCCATGAACAAAAGGCCTGAAGCCCCTCTACAACTATTTATCAAAGTTCATAGAGTTTCTGGAGGCATGTTATTTGGGAAGTGGATGCCATTCCTGCTTCCAAACCTGTCATAGTATGTTGTTGTTATAAGCCATTGAGTCACCTGCAGTGTATAGCGACTCCATGCACAGCAGCTATGAACCCTTCCCTGTCCTGAGCTAGTCTCACTAATTCTGACACACCAACCTGTATCGCCCCAGTTACTGATCAGTACATCTCATCCAGGGGCTCTGTCCATCCTTCTGAACATGATGTCCTTCTCCAAGGACCAGTCTCTCCTTGGCCACGTGCCCAAAGTGAGGCAGAACATCAAAATCCTAGCCTCCAAGGAGAGACTTGGTTTCACCCTCTCCAAGACAGACCTATTTATTTTCTTGGCAGTCCATGGTATGTTCAAGACTCTTCTCCAGCACCACAACTCGAAGGTTATCTATTCTTCTATTATCTTTAGTCATTGTCCAGCTCTCTGAAGCATAACAAGTAATTGAGAAAACCATGGCTTGGATTAGGTGCACCTTTGTATCTAGACTGACATCATTTTAAGCTTAATATGTCCAAAAACTGAACTCCTAATACCCTCCCATCCCTCCAAAATAATCCCTCCCAGAATCTCATTTCACAATCTATTATGACTTCGTTCTACCACTTACTTATACTGGGTTAGATATCCTTATGGTCATCCCTGATCTCTCACATCTGCAATCCAAGCTGGCCAGGAAACTCTATTTGCTATCCTTTGAAATAATTTTAAATTCAACCTCAGCATTTCTTACTCTGTTTATTGCAGTTGCTTAGTGACTGTCACCTTTGCCTACTGTGGCCCAGTCTCAACACAGCAGCCAGAATAAAAGATAAAAAGTCAGTCAGATTATAGGACTCCTACTTAAAACTCTGAAATGGCTTCTTATTTCACTTAGTAAGAGCTAGAGTTCTAAAAGCCCCATTTTATTATATCTGAGTCTATCATACTGTCTCTGGTGGCAAAATATAGATAAAAAGAATATACAATGTGTCGGGCTGCTAACCAACAATTACCAGTGAATCCACCAGCCTCCTACAGGAGAAAGATGCAGTCTCCTCCCCAAAAGACTTCTAGCCATGGAAACCCAATGGAGACTTTGTTTTTCTGGTTCAGGTAAAGATTACATCCTTAAAAACCCTGTGGGACAGTTGTCATCCATTCTAGAGTGGTGGTGGTGTGCCATCAAGTTGCTTGCAACTCAGTGACCCTGTGTACAACAACTCTGAAGTCTGCTCTATCCTATGCAAACGTCATTGTCTCGGACACACGTACTCTCATTACCGCAGTCACTGCATCAATCCATCTCATGAAGGATCTTCCTCTCTCATACTGTTCCTCCACCCTGCCAAGAATGATGTCCCCGTCCAAGGACTGGTTCCTCCTTCCAACATGCCAGAAGTATGTCCAGAAGCCTTTACTCCAAGGAGCAGCTTGGTTTCAACTTCTCTAAGACGAACTTGTTTGTTCTCTTAGCAGTCCATGATATATTCAATACTCTTCAGCACCATGGCTCAAAGGCATCAATTCTTCCTCTATTATCCCTAGCTGTCCAGCTTTCTGATGCATAGCAAGTAATTGTGAAGACTATGGCCTGGATCAGGTGCATCTTAATCTCCAGACTGACATCGTTGCTCTTCAGTACTCTGGAGATATCCTTGACAGCACATTTCCAGTGCAATTCATCTTTTGATTTTCTGGCTGCTGAGACTGAAAGTGTTGCTTGTGGAGCCAAGCAAATTAAAGCTGTTACAGTGTAGCTGTGAGACAATGCACACAACAGGTGACAAACATTGTTCAATGGCACCTGAAACATCAATGGCTGCATATCCTAATAAAGGTTGAAAACAACTAGCACAAGTAAATTTAATACCAGTTTTGCTGAAGAACTTGGAGAGTGGGTGACATTTTTGTTGTAACAGTTAATCTGAGAAGGGTTTTCTTTCTTTGTTGGGTTTTGTTTTGTTGGTTGTTTTTTTTTTTAAATTCTTTTATGTTACTTTGCTTACCAGGTTTGTATGTATTGTTTTTCACACTATCCTTCATTCACATGTGTTTCATACAATCATTCCCATTCATTATATAAAATTAATCACTAAACTGTGCCCACCATTCATTACCCGATCTCCACCAGATCTTTCCCATTTCTTTTTTCCACCCCTCCCTCCCATCAAATTGTGAGGCCCTGTGATTACTCTCTTGCCCATCCTCACACCTCTGATTCCACCCTCCCCACTTTAGATCTTCATGCATGTTTTACTAGTTATCTTTCTATTTATACATGTTTTAAAAAACCATATGCCCGTGTTTTGTTTTGGTTTTTTTTTTTTAAGCATTCTGGTAGCCATCAGACTTGTGAGTGTATCAAATTTTGTTTGATTCTACTATCAGTAAGAACAGTAATCTCTTTGTCTATAGAATATGTTTAGCATACCATCAAATCTGTTTGGCTAATTCTACATATATACTAGCATTTGATGCCTGATATGAACATACTTGTGATAATAAAATCACAGAAGAATCAAAGATATTGTTAAACTCTTCTGTAAGCATAATATATAGACAAAATACCTAAAGAACAGATATGTAAAACATTTTAAAAGACATTACAAGGAATAA